CACCTTAATAAATCTTTCTCTGCTTCCCTCTAACTAGTGAAGTTAATCACTCCGTCCGCGACACCCCCCATGGCTCTGCTGCGTCAGGGTGAGAGACCAACGAGGCTGGGGCACGATGGCTGCTCCACAGCAGCCTCCTGCCCCTACGAACTGGAAGAAAACTCCCCGTTTGCTTGACTGAGGTCATCTCATGCAGTGACACACAGGATTGTACAAACCTGCAGGCTCTGGCAGGAAGGAGAAGCTGCTACTCACAGTGTTTCGGACCATGAAGAGGTGCTTAGGAGCAGCCTGAGCCTTTGTTATCTTCAGGTAGTTTGTCCAGCTGAATTCTTCTTCCTTATAACCTACAACCCCTCAAGAAGAGAAATGAGAGCAGCAAATTCACAGAGAGCAGCCAGGAGGCTGTGGGGCCAAGCCCAGCTATCCCTGACCAGCCCTCACCCTGCCAGGCATGTCCTGTGTGGGTGGATGGGGTCTATAGCAGCCCTGGGAACCCCAAAGCCCATGGCTTAGGCCCAATGGCTGATTTTGAAGGGGTGCTAGGAAACATTAGCCCTGGATTGGAAATCCAGAGGTCAGCTCCTCCCTGGAAAGCATCAGTCCCACCTGCCTTGGGACATAGCTGGCTCCAGCCTGGCATGGGGACATCTAGAGTGACAGGGCTTTGCTCGGTCCAATTTTAGGGCAGAGACTGCAGAGGTGGGTGCCAGAAAGGTTGCCCTGCAGAACCTCCCCCAGCACAGCAGCAGCCCCTCCTGGCCCTCACAGAGCCACCCTGTCCCCATCTCCAGCTCTACATTCAGTGCCCACTACTTGTCCCCCTCCTTCAACAGGACGCACCAATTGAGACTCATTAACTCCTTAACTCCTTACCTTTTGGTGGCTGGAGTTTGTGCCCCGTCTCCTCGAACCAGCCAGCGGGATGGATGTCAGGGGAGTCAGCATTCAGCCAGAAATCATGGCACTCAGAGTAGCCATCAAAGTGGAGGCGCATCCGGTAACCGCACACCTACCAGCAGGGAGGGCAAGGAAAGGAAAGGACCATGGACTATGGAAACCTCCTGCTGTCCCTGGCCGAGCATCGCAGGCACCTCCCCTCCCGCACGCAATCTCAGCGGATCACTTATGGAAGCCAAGGATCATCATAGGTCAGTGCCCAAATTGGAAGGCACGCACCAGTCCCAAAAGATGTCCAGCACGGAACAACATAAGTGCAAGGCCACCACAAGCCAGCCCTGAGACGGGAGGTTCAGGCTGGTGCCCGAGATGCCATGGTGGGGCACCTTGCTGGGTCCAGGAAGTGCAAGGATTCCTTGGGGGAGATGCTGGCACGGGGATTTTGGCTAAATGCCATGCTGCTTTGGTGAAATCTCTGCAGCAGCAAGAACAGCAGCCGCCATTGCACAGCTGATCTCCCTGGCTGCCTGGGGAGCACTGTGAGACGAGGCTGGTTCGGCTGCCACATGGCTCGGGGGAGAGCCCCACAGAGAGAGAGGACCTCCACAGGCACAAGGAAGAGCAATGGAATGCCTCCACACCCTCCAGAAAAATACTGTCTGGAGTGGGGACCTAGAAATTTTGTTGCCATGAAAATATGACTATAGGTCAATTATCTTACTGTATAAATAGTGGACAGCCCAAGAGCCCCTTTGAGCTCTCCTGTATGGCAGCGGGCTGCACGCCAGGATCTCCCCTTTGGTGAGGACACTCGCTTAAGGTTCTACTCCTCGAGGTTGAGGGAAACCTTGCCGCAACAGATTCTCAGTAAGTGACTAATAGCATGCTGAACTTTGAAATTTTATCTAAGTCATGTAAAGGATTAATTGTGCATATATAATCCTTTAGACATAAACCATTGACCAAGTCTGGGACTAGGATTGGATCCAGCCGCCCCCAGACTCCTCTCTGAGAAGGAGTTTAGAAAGCCAGGGGGTCCTTTCTGAACCTCCTGACTCAACGGGAGGGTCTCCCTGACAGCTTGTCTGACCCTGTCCTCTGGGCAGTAAATAATAGAGTGTACCCTGACATCGAATCTTGTAAAACACTATCGCATTTACCACTGGTTTTATCACACTACTGGTTTTGTTAAATCACTGTTTCACCTTAATAAATCTTTCTCTGCTTCACTCTAACTAGTGAAGTTAATCACTCTGTCCGCGACACCCCCCATGGCTCTGCTGCGTCAGGGTGAGAGACCAACGAGGCCGGGGCACGATGGCTGCTCCACAGCAGCCTCCTGCCCCTACGAACTGGAAGAAAACTCCCCGTTTGCTTGACTGAGGTCATCTCATGCAGTGACACACAGGCGAGGGCCCAAAGCCCGTCTCCTCCACAGGCCAGCTGACAGCACCTCCCCTCCCACAGAGCCTCCCACCACGCAGGAGTGAGGAGGAACCAAGGAACATGGGGACTGGAGGTGCCTTACCTCAGCCACTGTCAGGATAAAGTACATAGATGGGTGCTGCGGATCGATCCCCTCCAGCTTCATCCCCACTTTAAAGCCATTCTTGTGCTGGGAAGCTACTTGGTACTGGAAACAAAAATTAAACTACAATGTAAAAAACAGCACAGGTAGTTGGGTCCAGAACCATCCCAAAAAGCAACCATCAGGCAATGGGAGCTGCTGGGACCAGGAGATCGTGGGCCACAGGTTATGTTGTCCAAATTTTAATTCTTTTCCCATAGGAAAACACATTCTTCCACCTCCTCGTGGGTTTGTGTCTCTTGCTACTGGCAGGGCAGGGTGTCCCAGGGCGAAGAGTAGGAGAGTGGGGCACGGGCCAGGCTCCTCTGGAACTCTGGCAACCAGAGGCCTGGGAGCAGGGGAGCAGTGCAGCAAGGTGAGCCCAGGAGAGCCCAACGCCTGCTTTGAGGAAGGGCTGGAAAGGCTCCAGCACCCTGCCAGAGCCACAGGAGTGTCCGAAGCAAATGTGGGGTGCTTGGGATGGGGGACAGCACCCCGCTGGGGAGCGGGACTCGGGGCAAATCAAAACTGGAGGCTGACTGGTCATCTCCAGGTAAAGATGGGAGCTTGCTTACCGCTCAGAGCCCCGCAAAATAGGGAAGCAAGGAAGAGAGGAGAAGGAGGAGGGGTGGGAAAAAAAACCCATCTCCAGCTCTACATTCAGTGCCCACTACTTGTCCCCCTCCTTCAACAGGACGCACCAATTGAGACTCATTAACTCCTTAACTCCTTACCTTTTGGTGGCTGGAGTTTGTGCCCCGTCTCCTCGAACCAGCCAGCGGGATGGATGTCGGGGGAGTCAGCATTCAGCCAGAAATCATGGCACTCAGAGTAGCCATCAAAGTGGAGGCGCATCCGGTAACCGCACACCTACCAGCAGGGAGGGCAAGGAAAGGAAAGGACCATGGACTATGGAAACCTCCTGCTGTCCCTGGCCGAGCATCGCAGGCACCTCCCCTCCCGCACGCAATCTCAGCGGATCACTTAGGGAAGCCAAGGATCATCATAGGTCAGTGCTCAAATCGGAAGGCACGCACCAGTCCCAAAAGATGTCCAGCACAGAACAACATAAGTGCAAGGCCACCACAAGCCAGCCCTGAGACGGGAGGTTCAGGCTGGTGCCCGAGATGCCATGGTGGGGCACCTTGCTGGGTCCAGGAAGTGCAAGGATTCCTTTTTCTGCACCTGGGGGAGATGCTGGCACGGGGATTTTGGCTAAATGCCATGCTGCTTTGGTGAAATCTCTGCAGCAGCAAGAACAGCAGCTGCCATTGCACAGCTGATCTCCCTGGCTGCCTGGGGAGCACTGTGAGACGAGGCTGGTTCGGCTGCCACATGGCTCGGGGGAGAGCCCCACAGAGAGAGAGGACCTCCACAGGCACAAGGAAGAGCAATGGAATGCCTCCACACCCTCCAGACCTGTCTGAGGGGCATCAGCTCAAAGATAAGAAGCTGTTGCCATCACCACAGTCTCCCCCTGTGGCGGTGTTGTGTCCTCCCCACCCCCCCCGTCCCCCGGCTCCTGCCCGGCCTTGGCCACCGCGGCCATCACAACAGCAGCTGTGAGAACTTGCACCCGGTCTCTGGGGGATGGCTGGCAGCAGAGTCAAAATAATGTCTGGAGTGGGGACCTAGAAATTTTGTTGCCATGAAAATATGACTATAGGTCAATTATCTTACTGTATAAATAGTGGACAGCCCAAGAGCCCTTTGAGCTCTCCTGTAGGGCAGCAGGCTGCACGCCAGG